CCCCAAAACCCCAAAACCCCATAGGCTTGATAATGCATAAAAATGGCAGTTGAATTATGTTTAATCACATATAAATATTATTAAAGTATTTCAAATATGTTAGAATTATTAATGATAAATCAAAATTTCACCTTAATCGTTTTTAGATGGCAAATAAACTCTTTTGATTTGGATTGTCATATATATTTGAGTATTTCATTGAAGATATATTTGTTCTTGAGAACTTTTTTTTTCTACACATATTTTTCAATAATAAATAAGGATTCCAATCTAATTTACATGTAAGCATCTTCAATTTTTTATCTCGCGAAAATTTAGTTTTCACTAGGCTATAATTCCATTCTCTACAATATGTATTAATTATTATACTTTTCAGTTATATGATGACGAAGTTAAATACATACATCCACAATATAGTCAATAGGAAGTATTTCTACATCTTAAAATATAGAATGGAAGATAGGAACTTTATTTTCAGCCTTATTATTGTAGATACAAAAATCTAACTTATTTCAATATTTCATTAAGACTGAGAAGAATAAGTCGTAATCATGTAAATGTAAGGCTTGTTGTATCAGATCTAGCTTTTAAGTTTGAGTAGGTTTCTGCAAGTAATGAATTACATCCCATTTTTAATAAAATAATTCAATTATTGAAACTTTAGCAGCAAGTGCTCTCTATTAAATCTGCTCAGATTCAATCAATTCCAATTTTTGAATTAATGGATCAGTGTCATGATTAATAACTTCATTCAAGATTATATTTACATAGAAATCATATTTGTCTCCTAGTTATTTTATCCTAGGAAATATTTTCTTCACAAAAAATTCATAATATATCAAGGCTTATTCTTGTTTTCTCCAAGGTTCTTCTAGGTATTTTAATTAGAATTCATACAATTCCTGTGGCTAGCATAGTGCTCTATATTTATCAGATAAAATGTATAAGAAACACTCTTCAATTTTTTGATTTAATAAGCAAGAATGCAAGCTCTCCTCGAAAATATGTCCAATTGAATTTAGAATATTAGCATTCTCATTAATTATAGGTTGTTTCATAGAGTATTCTATTGGATTAGATCTCAAAAGACAGCTAAAAGTGTCAGATTAATCTTTATTGATATTGTATTATTCATTTAGTAATTTGTGGAAATTTTCATTGTTATATTTGAATTTCTACAGTTTCTAACTCATGGTTTTCTTGAAGTGTTTAGTCTTTTTTACTTTGATATTATATCTCTCGAACTCTGAAAGAGTGAAGTCAATAAAGTTTTTAAGTTCAGCTTTTTATTTCCTAGAGGTTTGCTTAGCTCCCATGTCTTGAAGGTATAATAAAATTTGCTACTTTTTAAAATTTGATTATATTATTTTTAATCAATACTTTTGACTCTAAATAGTCGATTTATGGGGTTTTGGGGTTTTGGGG